TAGAGCTTTTCTTTCAACAAAAATCTTCTTGATTAAAACTATAATTAAAATCTTAATCAGCAGGGGTATGCAATATTTTGGGTTTAAATTTTAATGCAGGGAAATCCCAGAAAAAAAAAAATTGTTATATACCAAGGAAGATTTAAGATCAAGGCTGGAGTTCACACACAGCTGACTGGATAGCTGTACTTAAAGATCGGCCTAGTCAAAGCTTATGCCAAAATCCAATTAAGTAGCTTGACTGAAATAATGCTGTTCACAAATTCTCTCTATTCAAGCTCATTCAGCTTGAGGATCTTATCCAAAAAATTTGATTTAAAAATTCTTAAATTCTGAATACAACACAGTAGGTCAACCTACTATAGTAGAAATACATCTAAATTAACTTGTAGTTGTAATTTTTGCCAAATGATCTAAAACAGGTAAGAAAAGAATTAGCAAACCCCACATATTTCTATAAAAAAACCTGATAGTTTTTCCTTTTGGCTCAACTTTGTCTTTATAATGAGAGAACAGAGCAACACACTACAGCATGCTCTCCAACTTTAAAAGAACAAATTTAAGAAACACAGAGCAATTCCATTCTTTCTTTCCTGTTAAATTAATTAAATGGCTACCTTAACACATTTCTGAAAAGCATAAAATGCTTTAAAAGCTAAACAAAATTACAGCATATGAAGCTCCAGAAAGTTTCTACCTGAGGCTGTATGCCTTTTTAGCAGCTGGAAACTATTTTAATGGGAAAACCAGGGATGAGAAATAATAAAAAATAGCAAAGAGTGACAACTTCCCTTCTCTCCAAGTCCAATTATGTGGTGGCCTGTTTCTGTCAGGAGTCTTTCAGCAGGTTCTCACTGAATCATGGTTTATTACAGCAGCAATACACCTCTCCTCTGAGCAGAGAAACACATCATCTCAGACTTTTGAGGGATTCATGCAACTTGTCACCTTGTGGTGAACTGAAGCATTATAATTTTACTGCTTATGGTAAATTGCAGCATAGGGAGCTTGTTTGTAGCTATTTAAATACAGAAAAAGCATTAAGGTAGTTGTTAAAGATGTGACTCTTACTGTAGCTGCAAATGCCTTCTGGGATGTTCATTAATACACTATACTGCTGTTTTTTGAACACATCCATGCTCATTCAGGTTGAAGTTTGGGTTTGTGACAAAAACCTAGGATGTGTATCGCTTGTGTTTATTTTCTCCTGACAGTAATTGATGGAAAAGGAAGATTTCTGATTGCATTCATAGGAACAAGGCCTGAAAAGGAACACTACAGATAAACACTAGTAACCGTGGAACAGATGTTTGGGCGAACTTGTCTGTCTGATAATTTACTGCTTGTGTGTTAGTCATACAGCTACTGCATTAAAGGATCAATCCCTTTTCAAGGCTTAGTTTGACTACCTACGCACCAGGAGCACCTGCTTCCCCCACTGTAATTTTCCCCTTTTAGATTCAGAAGACAGGAACTGAGTTAATACAGATTTAAGGGTGGGCTTGTTTATAAAAAATCTACAGGAAGAAGGTTGTTTCTAAATTAAAGCAAGACATATAGAAAGTCTTTTTTATTGCAATCTCTCTGGAAGTTGACGTGGTTTTTGAAAACAGAAAAAAACAGTTTCCCTAATTTCTGATAATTCTTTGGGGCTTTGTTTTATCTAAAGCCCATTCTCCACTGAAAGCCCCGGGCTTTAGAGTCTCAGGCTCTACCTTAGTAATAGGAATTCCAATTAATTCATCATGTTCCTTTTCTATTACTTTGAAAGTGTCATAAAATGGGACAGATGGACTCAGTATTCAGGAGAGACAGACAGTGAGAAGTTTCAAGATGTTTAATGACAGAAATAAACAGAACAAAACTGAAACAGAACGTGGGCTGCTATGGATCAGTGGACCTGTAGCGGCTGCGAGGAAAGATGGAGCATCACCCATCACTGGCACTCTGGTTGCGGGAGAAACACAGTTAAATGAACCCAATCAACGGACAGAAGAAGATTATCCTTGTGAGTCACTTATCTGCATTAACAGTTCATTTCATCCTCTCGGGTGAGGCAGGATCAGGCGATGCACTGCTAATAAAATGAGGCGCAGAGCCTTACGGAGTGTCCCCGATGCTGCAACCCAAGTGAACAGGCAGGAGACCAATCCAGGTCATGGAAACAGTTCAGAACAAGTCAGTTCTATGATCCAGGAGTCCGTAGCCCAACCAGGGGTTCCAATCCAAACAGGAACTGACTAATTCAGGGCTCCTGGAATCCACAGAGCACCCAGGCAGGTTCCATGAGTCCAGTAGCAAGCTCAGACAGACATGCTCAGATGAAGACAGGCGGGCCCAGTGGTTGAGAGGAACAGAGACAAGGCATGATACCAGGAGAACTGCAGAACTTTAAACTGACTCCATCAAGGAGCCAGGATCACGGAAGTTAACTCTCCCCACACGCCGAGCCAAAATCGAGAGGGTTCTGTGGAGAAGAGCCAGAACAATCAGGAGACACGAGACAAACACTAAAATCCTCTCCACACACTGGCCCTCCAGAGTCAGGACATGAACAATGGACTTAACTACAAATCAAACTAAAACAATTAAGAATAACTAATTAACTTCCCCATAAAAGCTGGGCTGAACCATATATAAAGCAGCGGCAGCAGGTGAATAAGATGAATGGTGATTAGAGAGTGGGGAGGGTACGGCTGGTGAATGAAGCGAGTGATTCGATCAGCTACCACAGCTGCGATCATGACAGAAAGGCCCCAGTACAATCATGCAAATCAACATAGCTAGGTGGTTGCCAAAAGGCATAAATGTATACAACACCACATGGTTGAGTGCGATCATGAACACAGAGTAACAAACTGTGTGTAAGCACACATGTTTCAGTAGGAAATGTACCCCCTCCCCCTGCTGGATGTAAAAAGAACAAGACCGCTTACTGCGACTACAGTCCCTGTCCGAGATCTCTTCTTGGCTAACAGCCTCCAACACCACTGTTGCTGAGTCGTTTGTAGCTCCGGTGACCACATATGCGGCCCTATGTTACAGGATCGCCTCCATCTGGTAATACCAATGTTTTGTCTGGTGGTCTGACATGCCACGATTGTTGTGGTCCTTCAGACTCTTGCTCTAAAAGCACATTCAACGAGATCCACACCAATTTTAAGCAACTGGAATTCATCTTGTAGGATGTGTGGTGCTCCAAGAATCCCTTGGTACCATTCTCTTGTTTGTGAACTTGCTGAGTAAATTTATGTTTGGGGTCAAGCCCGATCTGGGATTGTTATGTGCTGTGCTTAGTAGTGTTGCACCGATACCGATACTGCACTAAAATGGTGGTATCTGTATTGGCAAGTACCGACAAATAGGGCACTGATACCATTTTGAGAGCCAAAAGTTTATTTAACAATTGTCAGTCATTCCAGGTAGGCAATAAAAAGTTCTACTAGATTTACTTTGTATTAGTCTTTTTCCTGCTTTACAATGGTAGGCGGCAGCTTGACAAAGCCAATTATGGCAATTATTTTACATCCAAGTAGTATGCAGTTCTTCATATAGACACTAACACATCAATTTCAAACAGATGGTATCGGTATGGTGTTGGAATAGCCCGATACTGCACAGCCAGGTTTCGGGTATAGTGTCGGTGCAACACTAACGTTCACACTGCAGGCCTTAATGCTCATATACAATGTTGCGTTGCCATTCACATTTTCAAATATGTGCGACTTGTATGTGATCTCCTGTGTGAACTACATTCATACAACATAAGTTACCCTTACGCTCAGTAGAGGATGCAATGACCAAATGATCAAAAACAAGCGTGCTGTGTGTTTACTGAAATAAACATGGATGGTTTTGATGGAACTTAAAAACACAACCTTTTCAAGACGGTTAAACATAAATATTACTCTCCACATTACCATCCACCATGGCTGTTGTTTTTCTTGCCGCTTCTGGGAAGCAAGACACAGAATAGTGACTTTTGTCTGGTACTAATGTCGTTCAGGTCAGATGAATGTGACCTGGCCATCTAGATACAGGTTGCATTTGAAAAGATTAGCTTCGAATCGGATTCCGGACCACATAGCCAAGTGGCCAGGTCGCAATGGAAAAAATCTGATCTGTGTTGTTAGGACAGCCATGTGTGGACATAGCCTAAGTGATGTTTTAAGCTTAAATTATTTACATACAAACCCTGCTTTAAATCCATATAAATGCAGACATGTAAAGAGTTTAAAAATTCTAAATGGAGAATTACAACATCTGCTAATTGTGTTTTTGTTAAATATTCCTGTAATTTATCTAGTGGCCCTCATTAATCATAATCTTAAACCTTTTTTTCAGCTTTTGTTTTGTAAAACGTTTTTCCGTAATCTACTCCAGCAAAGCAGAATTTCTCTCTCAATGACTGACTCAATGTTTTTCTAATCAAAATAGATGACAAACTTGGTGGATAAAAACACTGGCTGATGGATGCCTTCCCTGTCTGGCACTTTAATGACACCTCGGGATCAAACGTTCTGCTTTATACCCTAGATTCTGGCTGATCTCAATCTGAAAAGAGATATTTCCCTGAAATATAACGTGTTTGAAGATGTGTGTTGCTTGATGAAGAATTGCTGGTTTCTTAAAGGCTCTATAAGAACACAAATATATTGCTCACACTGGTTTATTTAGCCAAATCTCAGTTCAGAGAGTTAAGGGGATATTTGATTATTGAGCAATGACAACAAATAAAAATCAGGGTCATCTAACATGCACCACATTTTTACCAGCAAAGACCTCATAAATTTCTTGCTGATTCACTTGAACATTAAAATTGCTTTATTGTACTGAAAAACATAATATTTGAATCATTTGAGACATTAACTATTCACTGCATGTTATTAAACAAAGAACACAGTGTTATTGACGCAGCTCTGTGTTTGAGTATTTCCCCATATTATTATTTACTGTATGAGTTTTTATTAGTCCTTTATTTCCAGAAAATCAATCCAGATTTAAAGTGAGCAATCATTAAGTTCTCCAAATCCTTTTTTACACTATTGCAAAATCTTTCTTACACTGTATGGCATTTTCTGGCTTGACGGTTCAAGCAGCCTTAGCATGAACTGTCTTATCTCCTGTTGTGTCAGGCTGACAGATTTGTTGGATATATTAAAAATCAAATGTAGTTATATAACTTTGAAATATGGTATATATATATACTGAACTGAGGGACAATGTGTATAAATGAAAACATACTCTATAGCAACAATTTGATTATAAGACTTGGCCTCATGTTACACCACGCAGCTGTTTGTCTGAACTAACAAAGATTTATATACCTCAGAATGTTGAAGTGGTTGCAACAGCAAGTCAATTTGACCATTCTTCTCTCTGTTAAATTCTTCTTAAAGCTATTTTAGCACTTGGAGGATACTAAAATCTAGAGAGATAAATTGAGTTAGTAAATAAAACCTTTTTTATAAGCATACTATTGTCACACTCCAGGTTCTATTCGGGTGCAGGCCAGGTTTTCTCTCTCTCTCCTCTGCAGGGATGGACGGGCAGGTGCACTACATCTGAGCTGATCACCACCCTTCTTAAGGAGCTGGAAGCAGGAGGAGGGCGTCAGTTCCCTAACGCCACAGCGTTGGTAACAGACCAAACCCAAACCTAGTCCTAGTGATTGTAAAACCCTTGTCTAAATCCAGTTTTGATCCTTTTCCTGCAGAACCCTTGTTTCTGACCCCTGGACCCAGCCGTGAACCATAGACCTTGGACCCTCCGCCTGAAAGATAACCAGGAACCCGAGAAGGATCTCGGGTTATCCACCGTTCAGCCCTCCTACCTGCGATCACCTGCCTGTCCACCCTCAAACCTCCAACCAGGGAGAGAGTACTGGTCAGCACACGGACCACCGGGGACACTTCCCCCCCAAGACCGGACCACAGCCTCTCTACAGTGAGTGTCAGCCCACCATTATCCTCCAGCAACAGTTTCCTCACATTCACCAGTCTCATCTTCTCTGCAGAAGCCCAGAAGAACCTGACCAGACCATACAGCTTCCAGTTCACGTCCACTATCTTATTTTTCAATAAAACCTCTTAAACCTTCTCCTGCCTCTGTAGTTGCTCTCGTCCAGAGTTACCTTCAATTATGACAACTATATGTTTTATAGATGTATACTACATAATTTGTATTCTGCACAGAGGTTTCTGTTCACTATAACAGTCACTTAGTTATGATCTTCCATGTATACATTTCATGACAGTAGCTCACACCAACACACACACACATATATATATATATATATATATATATATATATATATATATATATATATATTTCTTTTTTTTTTTTTTTAGGTATTTCTGTTATCATTTTTGTTCAAAGTAATTATAGTTATAAAAAGTGGCTAATGAGCTGCAGTTTGCAAACCCCCTGCTGTTGAGGACTTAACTTTGAGAACGTTAGATGATAATTATGTTTTAGCATGATAACTTCACAATTACTTTGTATAACCATTATTCAGCAATAAGTTATCAGTCAGCCTTCTGTCTTGTCAAGACAAGAAAACAAACCTCTTGAGACACTTGTTGAGAGTTAGATTAAAATGTATATATTTATATTGAGAGGTCAAACAAGGATTGCTCTGTTTCAGATTACTGCTTTTTCATTGTCTATCACATGCTTATTTACCCTGGATTCTGTCCTCAGATATACTTCACTGTTCCAATTTCCCTTCACATTCAAGCTAGCTAAGGACAGATAAAAACAAAAAAACAGAAAGCAGAATAATGTGGAGCTTGCTTTCACGATCAGGATTACATTTGTCAACATTTCTGCCATTTTTGTTGTTGTTCTAAAGCCAGTTGGAAATACAAAACAATAAAAATATGCTTTTTCTGTAATTATAGTTTGAAATGATTGTTTACTCAGTTCTTTTTTATGACATTACCAAACTGATTATGTTCATTTCACATAAATTGTCATATGAAAGAAAATAAAGAGATACTTTATGGGCATTTCTGTAAAGGCACATCCAAACAATTTATGTGTTTGTTTCAGTGTGTTCATCCAGACCTCTGCCAGACCTGGATAACTACATACTAACGCTCCAATATAAGCCTTTTTTTCGCTGCGTCAAACATTCTGTTTTCCTTCGGGGGAACAGTTTCCAATACGCTGAAGCATAAAAAACATTTTTGTGTGAGAATTTGTGTTAATAGGTGAAGGTGTAGTTTTCCCTGCATTTCAGACGAAAGACATTTTTGAACTGTGAAAAATCCAGTAAAAATATGAATGGTTTATAAGGAACCATACTAGCTCTCAGACCATGTTTGTTTTAATTTGCTGTGCCTTTCAATAGTCCCCATACCACCATTTTTTGCACAAGTTGTCATATAGTGAGTAAAATTTATAGTGATACCAACAGAAAGTAGTAAATCTTTAGAAAAACAAAAAACAAATCATACAAGGTTGTTAATTTTTGTACAGCTGCAAAACTTTACATTTAGGGCCTCATCTACTAAAATTCTGCAAGTAGAAAAACGTGTACAAGCTTGATACAATAAAGTTGATGTACTAAACAGGTGCTAATTGAATGATTGGATTTTCAGGAGCAAACTTTTGCATGAACCAGGAGAATGTATGCTGATTCACAAACTGAAAAATACTGTGAGATAAATAAATCAATTTATCAACAGAAATGTGATTTATTAAACCAGACATTTCTCATTACAACTCATTTAAAAGTCATGGGTGAATGTATGTAAAAATATCTGAGGGCCAGTGGAGAGAGGAGGGCAAAGGTGTAGTGCAAACACATTTGGAATGACAGAAATGACAATAATAGACATATTATCTATCCAGTAAACCAGTTCTGAAGCTAAAGAATTAGAGTTACAGTGCAACAGAACTGTATGACTTTATGGCATTACAACATTGTGTCAGCATTGGATTGGATGAGAAGCTGCCAATATAGCTCAGAAAAGCTGCCACAGATTATGATTGTCTGCTCTATGTTCCACAATATGTGCAGAAAAAAGATGTCGGCACAGGACCGATTAATGCAAAAGGTTTGGCAGACATTTATGCAACTAAACCAAAATGAAAAAAAAAATCCCACCACGATTAAAAATTGTGACATGTTTATAAACAAAGAAAACTGAACATTGACAGCTTCAAGAGAAAAGGAAACCACAGCTTCACTGGCTACATTTGAAGAATGTAAATTGAAGTTCATTGGATGGGAAGCCTTTTTAAACATTCTTTTTTAAGTCTTGCCAAAAATCTTGAGTTTGATTGAAGTCTAGATATTGACTGGGCCATTCTCACACAGGCCTGAGCTCTGATCTAAACTATTGCAGAAAATGTTCTAATCATTTATAAAGTTGAAGGCTAGCAGAGGGCTCAACAATTTCAACTGTCACTGAAATTGCCTCTACAAGTTTATTAGGCTTGGCATAACAGTGGTTTTCAAACCTGTCCCAGGGTCCTCCATCTACTGTCTTCAACTCATCTTTAACCAAGTTGCAGGGGTAACAAGTCTAATCGGGAAACCCAGACATTCCTCTACCAGCTAAAAGCTTCCAGGTCGTTCTTGGGTGTCCAATATCCTATAGAGCCCCTCCATCAACTTCTGTGTTTTCCCTTTGGTGCATTCCCAATGGGATGTGCTCAAACTATCTTTAAAAAACAGAGCCAACCTGGTGAGACCCCTTAACCACTTCAACCAACTTCTGTGGAAGTGGAAAAGCAGCAGCTCTTCTTGGAGCTCCCATCCGACTACAGAGGTCCTACCCCTGTTCTTTCAGTCATGAGCCATGTTTGCTGACCATAGAGTTCAAACATAAAACTGGTATGAGCAACCCCGGTATTTAAGGGCTAATGTCCTGCAACCTTAAGATGAGAGAGTGTGCTGGACCATGGAGGTTTCCTGGATTAAAGGGCTCATTTGCCACTACTACTACTACTACTTCTACTACCACCACTACTACTACTACTACTACTACTACTACTACTACTACTACTACTACTACTGCTGCTACTGCTGCTACTGCTTCTCCTGCTAATTAAATGTTCTTAATTGTTTTGTCTTCAGTAACTGTAAAACATGTTTGTAGTTAGCTTGTTTGAACCAGACAGGTATGTGCTGTCATTTGTTTTTTCAAAGATGGAAGGACATTGCAGTTACATCATAGAAGTAATTGTTGAAACAGTAACTAATCTTTCTACAAAGAAGACCACTTTCAAACCAGAGGAAGTCATTCATCCAAGCAAATTCAGTCCAGAATAGTCAATATACAAAGAAATATTTTAAAAAAAAACACAATAATGGCTACATCTCAGAATCTGGACCAGTTTTCCTAATTATGCATTTAGATCAGGCGCGGGGGTAACTGTGATTTCCGCGAGCCCCGTGAGGAGTTCACCGCTCTGCATTTCAGATGCACAAAAAATACGCCGTGGACCACATCATCAAATAGGAGGAGCTTCAGCTGCATGAAGCTGACACCCCAATGACATGAAAAAAACTCAGCGAATAGATTGAATAGTTGTTGCTTTTTTAGTGCAGGTTTGTGCACTTATAATGTTCATTTGTCATCATGAAAAAGATAATTTGTGCTACTGTGAGAACTGAAGGATCCAGTTTTCAAGGCAGACAAACAGATTTCCCAGAACGTTTATTGACAACAGAATCGTAGTAAGCATCTTTGGCATCTAAGGCAGGAACCTCTGGTCTAATAGTTCTGTCCGAATCCAGAAGATAGAAGTTGGTTCCAGCTGGCTGGCTGCCAACACAGAGAGTCGCAGACGCTGATGTATTGGTGGTTGGAGGATAGGCAGGAGATCAGAACCAAGCAGACGGATGAAGGCAGGATGATCCAGATGGCGAAGCCAAAGCCGATGCCGGTGATGTACTTGGTTGTCAGAGCCAGGAGGTCAGAGATCCGGTGAGGTGCCGAAGGATAATCCAGGTCATAGTTTCAGGTTTGGTACACAAGCAGGCAGAGATCATGTCAGAAGTCACACGCCAACTGGGAACTTCAGATACTCTCAAAGTTTGCTCCCAAACAATGGAAAGTATAACGGGCCAGAATTCAACATTAGAGATATCTCCCCTCTGTTTCTGTCTGGTCATTTAACTGTCCGATCTCCCTCCTGGAGTTCCAGTTGCTGACTCTGGTAAATCCCTCCTGACTTGCAGCAGTTTCACATTCCAATAAACTCTTTAAACGCCCCTTGTTCTAGTAGAATTTCGGGTCTTCTGTTTCTGGTTATTACTGTAAGTCCCTAACAGTGAGATGATGCATTGCTTTATCAATTAATTCATGGATGATAACAGAATTCATTAATAGTTCGAAAAATATCCATTTTTCTAATGCCTTTTATTAGCTATTGAGAGATTTGTCTGTTGAAATGGAAAACATGGCAAAAAATAAAAATTATGTGGAGCTGAAATATGTGTTTTGTATTGCTGTAACATTTCCAGAGTGTTACTTTAATGTTGGGGATTTGCTTGGTATCCATTCTGCTGTCAGTCCTAAGCTGCTGGCCTGATTCTTCCACTTAATGTGGTAATTTATCTCTCTGAACACATGAATGCCTAAAATATGTGAACACTTGCACAGGCACTGAAAACATGCACATGTTTACAGTCGAGCACACAAAATGAGAACCACATTGAGCATTCAGTGGCTTTTTAATGCCCCATAAGAAGTTTTTAAAATGGGTGATCTATGCTTCTTTCTTTTTTCTGTCTTTCCTAATTGGCTACTCTTCATCATGAAGAGGGAACAATCATCATCATTGCTGCTCTCCCCCACTGATTTCCAGAAAATGATTACAACATGGTGCCTCACAGAAATTTGTTTTTTATGCAGTCTAGACAATATCTTTAAGGGTCTATTTTTTTTATGATTTGTAGTTACTCTGTGACCTCATGACAAGACAGCTTTTGGCTTTGACTATGAAGGACTTTCAGTGTACAGCCTGTTCAATCTGTTTCATTTACCAAAAACAGGTATAAGCTATTAGGCTAACTGGTGAAAACAAACTGATTATGGCAGAGTATAACCTTGTTTGCTTTGTTATGCAACAATAGAAACCATTTCCCTCTGCTGAGAGGATTATTACAATGAAAACTGGGAGCCAGTTATAGTGATTGCTCTTAAATGGGTTACACAGACCTTAAAAAATATTGAAAACTACTCCTCTGTGCTACAGTATGGCAAGGCATGGC